CCCTGCTCCCCCAACTCAGTACGAATTTATTTAAAATTCCCAACTACACCGTTATTTAATATAAGCAAGAGCCGTAAATTTCATGATGGGGCCTAGTCGGGTCTTGTGAACTCCTCGTGACACCACTCTAAGCCATAAACTCTAGAGGTGGGCACAATATTATGTCTGAATTTGTTCTAATCTCCAGAAGACGGTCTGGATTGTACTTAGAAAGTGAAAAGGCTTACATGAGATTGCACGACGCCTTGTAATCTTGATGCTCAGGCGGATGAAGATGAGCGCCACGTGATTGGCCAAACGCGTTATTCCGACCCGCATTTTTGTGATGATGAATGACGACCGTTGTTACCGACACAATGGATTCACAAGCCTCACCTTAAAACGGGATGAACGGGTACACCGCGCCGCACTCCCCTTGTCAGACTATCACTGTTGGCTTTTCCCATCTCAACCACGAATCGAAGGAGCTTGAGCGATCTGGTAGCCACGGATGTCATTGTTGACTTGATGCTGCGACCAGTCACTTCACCAAGTGAATGTCGCTCCAGCACGGGGTCAGCGTCAACTAAATTACAGCTACAACGGCTTGCCGCGTTGGATATTGCTAGGTGAACGCACTACATCATCCAACTATGTCTTCATCGCGAGTTTCCGACGAAGAAGAGAGAGGGCGCGCCGGTGCGCCCAGGTCCTCATCAGAGTCACTGGATGAAGAGTCTGAGGAAGGGTTCGCTCTCCTCTCGGACCCCGAGGAAGACTCAGAAGATGATCTGGCCGATGGCAAGGAGTATTCTGCTGCAACGAAACTTGCACCTGCTCGCTCTCCACACTCAGAAAGCTCACTAAATGCAAATGTCATTGAGGCGAGAGCAAGAGAGCATACTGAGGCGGAGCATGCTCTTACTTTAAGACAGGCCATCAATGCTTATCCAATGGCTATATTCTGGTGTCTCATAGCTTCCACTTGTGTGATTATGGAAGGATATGATACCATCTTGTAAGATGATGACAGCCATTTGAGATGATACGAGCTCACATTTATCTCAACTAGGATCGGCAATTTCTACGCTTACCCGGCTTTTGCTGAGAAGTATGGACAATATATTGATGAACATGGTCAACATCAACTTTCTGCAGCATGGCAAGCGGCCTTGGGGAATAGTTCCGCTGTTGGATGCTTCTTCGGCGTGTTGCTCAACGGCCACCTAGTTGATAAATTTGGCCAGAAGCGTGTTCTTCTCTGCGCTTTGCTGAGCCTCTCTTTTACCATTTTCCTAACCTTCTTCGCTCCTAACATTATTGTTCTTATGATTGGCGAACTCTTTTGCGGGTTGCCATGGGGCATTTTTGCATCGTCGGCTCCGGCCTATGCGTCTGAAGTCCTACCTATGTGCCTCCGGGTGTATCTCACATCATACACGAACATGTGTTTTATCATCGGGCAACTGATCGCTGCAGGTGTGCTTGCTGGCCTTGTGCATCGCACTGATGAATGGGCTTATCGAATACCATTTGCCTTGCAGTGGACGTGGCCGGTAGTGATCATTCCCATTCTCACCTTTGCTCCAGAGTCCCCTTGGTACCTAGTTCGACGGGGCGATCTAGGCGAAGCTGAGAAATCCCTGCGTCGTCTCCAACGCAGCAGTGCCAACATCAATGTCAAAGCTGCGCTTGCTGATATTGTCCATACCAACAATCTCGAACAAAGACTCACTCCAGGGACCAGTTACTGGGATTGCTTCCGTGGCACCGAGCGTCGCAGGACGGAAATAGCCTGTGTAGCGTTCGCTGGCCAGGTTCTGTCAGGCTCCGCTTTTGCGTACAATTCGACCTATTTCTTCCAACAAGTTGGACTATCCACCGATCAGACTTACAATCTGAACACTGCCGGTACTGCCATGGCCTTTCTAGGCACCCTGGTTAACTGGTTCACACTCATGCCGAACTTCGGCCGCAGGAGGATATACCTTTATGGCATGTTTACAATGTGTATGATCCTCTTCATCATTGGTCTTTTGAACTTCAAGACTGAGAATCGTGCCGTCGGCATGACCCAAGCATTTCTTACCCTGGCATGGACGTTCACTTTTCAGTTATCCGTCGGACAGCTTGGCTGGGCTTTACCAGCCGAAGTCGGTTCTACAAGATTACGACAGAAGACGGTTTGCCTTGCCCGCAACGTCTATTACGCAGCTTCCATGATTGCAAATGTCATTCAGCCATATTTCATGAATCCGGCGCAGCTGAACCTGAAAGGCTTTACTGGGTTTGTCTGGGGCACTACAGCGTTTCTTACTTTCCTTTGGGCTTTCTTTCGGTTACCCGAAACGAAAGACCGAACGTATGAGGAGCTAGATTGGCTATTTGCGAGACGAACACCTTCGAGAAACTTCGAGACAGCTCAGGTACATAAGTTTATGCAGGAAGCGGAGATAGAATTGGATGCTGTGCACTTTGGCGGTGCTGAGGAGGATGGTACTGAGTCTTCGAATCTTATTAGTCCTGGCGACCCTCGTCATTGGTAGCCATTACGTGCAAATAGTGTCATTTAATTACAAATGAGTAATGTTCAAGAGTGAATGAGAGTCCAGTTCCATGCACAATTGAATGACGAGGTTCAGCATGGCGAAAGTAGGATACAATGCACTTAGACTCGGGAACGGAGTTAGATGCCGTGGTTGTCGAGCGGATGACATTACCCGCGACTGCGGTAGTGCTACCCCGAAGATGGGAAACGCTAAGCACAGGCGGTTTAGCTTATCAGCAAGATACCCTAAGTAGGTCACTACAAGTGGGACATTTGGCTTGTCCAGCGCGCTTCAGGTATATTCCTGCTCGAATATTGGACATAATATCCAAAAGCTACCGGGTACCCTGTATGCTAAAGTGCAGTACCTTGCGTACATGTGGGGAAGCCCTCGGTCTGTCAGAGCAACCCGAGAACTTGTCGAGGTTCTTAATAGCCTAACCCCTTATGATGTTCCTGACCTAGTACTGTTTTCTTGGATGCTCTGCAATCTTCGATTTATGTGTTTCTCCTACTCAAAATCATTTCAAAATGGGGTTCCTCAAGTCGAAGCCGGATTATGTCGACCTAGACCCAAACTTCAAGCCAGGCCCTAAGAATGGCCATCTCTCCGAGGGCGCCGAAGCATATACGTCAGTCTTCCAGCCTTTCGAGGACGGCATGCAAGGTCTTTGGAATAGCGACATTTCAATGGCAGATTTGAAGAATGTCTTCAAGACAGCACCGCCTGCTATTCCCGAAAATTGCCCGAAACCTGGCAAAGATGTTTTCATCTCGTACATCAAAGCTCCCGTTAGAGACGGAACATGGGTCGAGCTGAAGATTTGGAAATGTAAAAAGCCGTCCCCCAATGCTCTACTGGTATTCAGAATGCACGGAGGTGGATGGACTGTGGGGTCACACGAAACTGAGGAGGCCGAGAATTTGTATCTTGGCGCTTTGCCAAATGTGATTGTAGTGAGCGTTGACTATCGCATGTCAGTTCATATATGCTTGAGTGTTGAGTCGGCTACTGATACAAGGTCCAGGGCACCCGAATTTCCCTTTCCGTACGCTTTGAATGACTCCTTTGACGCATTGAGATGGGTTAGTTAGACAAGAACTCCGGATTCCGGCTTGAGCTCTAACATTATACAGTGCAAGGATAATGCCGGTAGGCTAGGGATCAATTCTGAGAAGATAGTTGTAGCTGGTTGCAGTGCCGGCGGGAATTTGGTAAGCAGAACGGTCATATGGGCCAATGTGGAATTGTCATGGATTTTTCTAACATAGTATAAGGCGGCAATTCTGTCTATCAAGGCAAGGAACGAGAGGCTCTCAGGTATTGTCGGTCAGATTTTGAGCATCCCCGTTACGTGCCACCCAAAATACTTCGGGAGCGTTCCTAAGAAAGAGAGATATGAGTTATTGAGTTACGTGCAGAATGCTAAGGCACCACTCGTCGACACTCCTCGAATGGAGTTCTTCTGGGACTGCTATGTTGGGAAAAATCCAGGGCCAGATGAATTCCACTCCCCTCTGCTCTGCACTAACCTACATGGCCTTCCTCCTGCAGGTCAGTATATAAAACTCACCCTGTTGCTTTATTTTCACAAACGTTGAATGCTAACGATAATTCTGTCAGCTGTTCATGTTGCGGGCTTGGATCCTCTTCGTGACGAGGGCATAGCATATGCCGAAGCACTTAAGGCTGCTGGGGTTCCAACCGACTTATATACGTATAAAGGTCTCCCTCATGGTTTTTATTCTGGAGTTACACTGAAAGAAACTGCCGCCTATTTTGATCGTGTGATCGGTTTTGTGAAGAAATTTGCTACGAGGGATTCCAAGTTATGACAGGCCGCCAATACATGTACGATATAACCATTACGAGCGAAATTCGATTTCATGGCCATAATTCTACCTTAAATTTGATACCCTTTCAAATTTGGAAGGTTAGATATCATTGACTTACTCGCCTGCAGTGTTATCCGTGATATTTGTAGCCAGCCTTAACACATACACAATCTATACACTCTTCATCGCAGACTATGAGGGATGACAGGTATTCAAAATGATAGATATCTCTAAATGGAACGGAATACTTTAAATAAATTCATTGACAGACCCAACCTTCATCGATCAGCCAGACTTTTTTGGTGTGATATCGACTCGTTATATTAGAGCCAACATACCAACG